TTGGGGAAATTGAGAAAATTTTGGGGAGTATTTGGGAGGAAATTGGGAATAATTTGGGGGGAAAATTTTGGGGAAAAATTGGGGAAAATTGAGAAAGTTTTGGGGAAAATTTGGGAAAAATTGGGGGGAAATCTGGAATAATTAATGGAAAATGGGAAAATTTGGGGAGAAATTGGTAAAATTTTGGGGAAAATTTGGGAAAAATTGGGGGGAAATTGGGAATAAATCGGGGAGAGAAATTGGGAAAATTTTGGGGGAAAATTGAGAAAATTTGGGGAAATTGAGAAAATTTGGGGAAAACTTTAAGGAAAATTTGGGGGGGAAATTGGGAATAATTAAAGGAAAATTGGGAAAAACTGGGGGAAATTTTGGGAAAATTTTGGGAAATTTTGGGGAAAATTTGGGGGAAAATTAGGAATGATTAAAGGAAAATTGGGGTAAATTTGGGGAGAAATTGGGAAAAATTTGGGGGAAATTTGGGGAAAATTGGAAAAAAATTGGGAAAATTTTGGGGAAAATAGGGCAAAAATTTGGGGAAAATTGGGATTTTGAGGATTTAGGGAAAGGTCCCCCAAAAATTGGGGTTGGGGAGGGGAAATTGAGATTTTGGAGGGATTTTGGGAGGAATTTTGGAATTTTTGGGGATTTTTTTGATTATGTTGGGAATTATTTTGGGATTTGGGGGAAATTTTGGGGGAAATTTTGGGTAGAAATTGGGAATTTTTGGGGAATTTTGGGCTTTCCAAGGTGAATTTTCCTGGGGATTTTTCCAGAATTTTCCCTTCCTGAGTCCTTTTGAGAAATTCCTGGAATTTTTGGGAATATTTTGGGGAGAATTCCAGAAATTTCGAGGTCTTGAGGTGGATTTGGGGCTGAATTTTTGGGAATTTTGAGACATTTTCCTGGATTTTTCATGAATTTTCCACAATTTTCCCAATTATCCCGGGAATTTTTCCAGAATTTTCTCCCCCCCGAGTCCTTCCAAGGAATTCTCAGGATTTTTGGGAATATTTTTGGGGGAATTCTTGGAATTTTGGAGGATTTTGGGCCGAATTTTCAGGAATTTTGATGGATTTTGCTCGATTTTCCCGGGAATTTTTCCAGATTTTTCCCAGTTTTCCCAGAAATTTTTACAGGATTTTCCCATCCCGAGTCCTTCCAAGGAATTCTCAGGATTTTTGGGAATATTTTTGGGGGAATTCTTGGAATTTTGGAGGATTTTGGGCCGAATTTTCAGGAATTTTGATGGATTTTGCTCGATTTTCCCGGGAATTTTTCCAGATTTTTCCCAATTTTCCCAGAAATTTTTCCAGGATTTTCCCATCCTGAGTCCTTCCCACGAATTCCAAGGATTTTTGGGAATATTTTGGGGGAAATTCCAGGAATTCTGAGCTGAATTTTTGGGAATTTCGAGGCGTTTTGATGTTTTGTTTTTTTTTTATTTTCCCGCATTTTTGTCGATTTCCCCAGGAATTTTTTCCCGTTTTTCCCGGGAATTTTTCCAGGATTTTCCCCCCGCCGAGTCCCTCATGGGATTTTTGGGAACATTTTGGGGGGAATTCCGTGGATTTTGGGTCACTCACGCCGCGTGGGGCTCCTTGAACTTGCCGACCTGCTGGATGTGGTACATGAGGTCGCCCCCGGTGACGTACTCCATCACGAAGTACAGCCGGTCCTGCCGACCAGTTCGGACCAGTTCGGACCAGTTCGGACCGGTTCGGACCAGTTCGGACCAGTTCGGACCAGTTCGGACCAGTCTGGACTGGTTCGGACCGGTTCGGACCGGTTTGGACCAGTTTGGACCAGTTCGGACCACTTCGGACCAGTTCGGACCACTTCGGACCGGTTTGGACCAGTTCGGACCAGTTTGGACCGGTTCACTCCCAGTACTCCTAGTTTATCCCAGTCCCTCCCATTCCAGCCCCTTCCATTGGCTCCCATTGACTTCCACTGGATCCCATTGGTTCCCATTGGTTCCCATTGGCTCCCAATGACTTCCATTGGTTCCCAGTAATTCCCAGTCCAACCCAGTCCCTCCCAGTCCATCCCAGTCCAGCCCCTTCCATTGGCTCCCATTGACTTCCACTGGATCCCATTGGTTCCCATTGGCTCCCAATGACTTCCATTGGCTCCCAGTAATTCCCAGTCCCTCCCAGTAACTCCCAGTCCATCCCAGTTGCCCCCAGTCCCTCCCAGTCCCTCCCAGTCCCCCCAGTATCTCACGGGGGTCTGGAAGGTGGAGTGCAGGTGCGTCAGGAAGTGGGGCCGGGGTCCCAGGGCCAGCACCCTCCTCTCAGTAACTCCCAGTCCCTCCCAGTAACTCCCAGTCCATCCCAGTTGCCCCCAGTCCCTCCCAGTCCCTCCCAGTCCCCCCCAGTCCCCCCAGTATCTCACGGGGGTCTGGAAGGTGGAGTGCAGGTGCGTCAGGAAGTGGGGCCGGGGTCCCAGGGCCAGCACCCTCCTCTCCACCAGTGCTCCCAGTGCTCCCAGTCCCTCCCAGTTGCCCCCAGTCCCTCCCAGGCCCCCCCAGCCCCCCCAGTATCTCACGGGGGTCTGGAAGGTGGAGCGCAGGTGCGTCAGGAAGTGGGGCCGGGGTCCCAGGGCCAGCACCCTCCTCTCCACCAGGGTGGAGGCGGCGTCGTCGTCCTGCACCACCACGTCCTTCTTCAGGATCTTGATGGCAAAGAGCTCGGCCGAGCCCCTGCGCTCCGCCAGCATCACCTGGGGAACGTTCCGGAAGGTTCCACAAGGTTCCAGAACGTTCTGGGATTTTTGGGATTTTTTTTGGAATTTTTCCGGCCTTTTTTAGGAAATTTTTTCAAATTTTTTTCGAATTTTTTGGCCATTTTTTAATGATTTTTTCTGTAATTCTGGTGGGTTTTTAAATCGATTTCATGGTCTCATTTGCGTCCCGGAAAATTTCGGGGTTTTTGGGAATTTTTTTGGGTTTTTTTTAGGAATTTTTTGGGGAATTTTGGGAATTCTGCCCTCACCTTGCCGAAGCTGCCCTTGCCCAGCACCACGAGGAAGATGAAATCTCCCAGATGACATTTGCTCCCATTTTTTGCCATTTTTGGCCATTTTCCCCAGGAATTTTTTTGGGGAATTTTGGGAATTCTGCCCTCACCTTGCCGAAGCTGCCCTTTCCCAGCACCATGAGGAAGATGAAATCTCCCAGTTGAGATTTGGGGCCATTTTTTGCCATTTTACCCCATATTTTGGCTTCTTTTTTTCCAGGATTTTTTTGGGAATTCCCAAAATTTTGGGAAATTTCAGGAATTCCAAATTCTCACCTTTTTCTGCTGAATTTTGGGGTCATTTTGGGTCCAATTTTCACCATTTTTTGCCATTTTTTCACCGTTTTTCACCAGTTTTTCACCATTTTTTCACCGTTTTTCACCATTTTTTCGGGATTTTCCCCCAAATTTTGGGAATTTTGGGAATTCTGCCCTCACCTTGCCGAAGCTGCCCTTGCCCAGCACCATCAGGAAGGTGAAATCTCCCAGATGACATTTGGTCCCATTTTTGCCACTTTTGGCCATTTTTTCACCATTTTTTCTGGAATTTTTCCAGGATTTTTTAGGAAATTCCAGAAAATTTTGGGACATTTCAGGAATTCCAAGTGATCACCTCCTTCAGTTGAATTTTGGGGTTATTTTGGATGATTTTGGCTCAATTTTTCACCATTTTCCGCCATTTTTCTTCCAATTTTTTTGACCTTTTCTTCCAATTTTTTCTGGATTTTTTCCCAAACTTTTTGGGAATTCCAGAAATTTTTGGAATTTTGGGATCTCACTTTTTTCAGGTGTTCCCATGTGAATTTTGGGGTCATTTTGGGTCCAATTTTCACCATTTTTTGCCCTTTTTTTTGCCATTTTTGGCCATTTCTTCACCATTTTTTCACCGTTTTTCACCATTTTTTCGGGATTTTCCCCCAAATTTTTTGGGAATTTTGGGAATTCTGCCCTCACCTTGCCGAAGCTGCCCTTGTCCAGCACCATCAGGAAGGTGAAATCTCCCAGTTGAGATTTGGGGCCATTTTTTGCCATTTTTGGCCATTTTTTCCAATATTTTGGCTTTTTTTCCCCGGATTTTTTTGGGAATTCCCAAAATTTTGGGAAATTTCAGGAATTCCAAATTCTCACCTTTTTCTGTTGAATTTTGGGGTCATTTTGGGTCCAATTTTCACCATTTTTGGCCATTTTTTCACCGTTTTTCACCGTTTTTTCACCGTTTTTCACCATTTTTCAGGATTTTCCCCCAAATTTTTGGGAATTTTGGGAATTCTGCCCTCACCTTGCCGAAGCTGCCCTTGCCCAGCACCATGAGGAAGGTGAAATCTCCCAGATGACATTTGCTCCCATTTTTTGCCATTTTTGGCCATTTTTTCCAATATTTTGGCTTTTTTTTCCGGGATTTTTTTGAGAATTCCCAAAATTTTGGGAAATTTCAGGAATTCCAAATTCTCACCTTTTTCTGCTGAATTTTGGGGTCATTTTGGGTCCAATTTTCACCATTTTTTACCTTTTTTTTTCCTTTTTTTGGCCATTTCTTCACCATTTTTTCACCGTTTTTCACCGTTTTTTCACCGTTTTTCACCATTTTTCAGGATTTTCCCCCAAATTTTTGGGAATTTTGGGAATTCTGCCCTCACCTTGCCGAAGCTGCCCTTGCCCAGCACCATGAGGAAGGTGAAATCTCCCAGCTGGGAGCGGCCGCTGCCCGGGAGGCTCCGCTTGGGCTCGGTGGGGGAGGGGAGGGGGGAGGGGCCCAGGGTGGGGGAGGGGCCCGGCCCCCTCCGCACTTTCTGCGGGCACAAAATTCCCAATTATTTCCATTTTTCCCCCCAATTTTCCCAAGAATTTTCCCTTTTCCCAACTTTTCCCCATTTTCCCTGCAATTTTTCCCTTTTTTAAATTTTTTTCCATAATTTTTCCTCTTTTTTTGGCTTTTTTCCTCTACTTTTCCCCCAATTTTTCCCCATTTTTCCCTGCAATTTTTCCCATTTTTTTGGAATTTTTCCCATAATTTTTCCTCTTTTTTTGGCTTTTTTCCTCTACTTTTCCCCCAATTTTTCCCCATTTTTCCCTGCAATTTTTCCCATTTTTTTGGAATTTTTCCCATAATTTTTCCTCTTTTTTTGGCTTTTTTCCTCTACTTTTCCCCCAATTTTTCCCCATTTTTCCCTGCAATTTTTCCCATTTTTTTGGAATTTTTCCCATAATTTTTCCTCTTTTTTTGGCTTTTTTCCTCTACTTTTCCCCCAATTTTTTCCCTGCAAATTTTCCCATTTTTTAAAATTTTTCCCATAATTTTTCCTCTTTTTTGGCTTTTTTTCCTCTACTTTCCCCCAATTTTCCCTTTTTAAATTTTTTCCCCCAACTTTCCCCCAATTTTTCCACAATTTCGCTCCCATTTTCCCCAATTTTCCCCACAATTTTATCACTTCCCCCCATTTTCTCCCTTTCTAAATTTTTTTTCCAAATTTTCCCCAAAATTTTCCACTTTTTCCCCAATTTTCTCCCAATTTTCCTCCATTTTCCCAAATTTTCCCCCATTTTTAATTTTTTTTTTCAATTTCCCCCCAAATTTTCCCTCTTTTTTTTGTCTTTCCCGCCATTTTTCTCCAAAAATTTTCCCAAATTTTTCCCCATTTTCCCCCCTTTTTTCCTAATTTTTCCCCAAATTTCCCCCCAATTTTTCCCTTTTTATTTTTAATTCTTCCCATTTTCCCCACATTTTTCCCTTTTAAAAAACTTTTCCCCTTTTCCCCCAAATTTTCCACTTTTTTTCCATTTTTTCCTAATTTTCCCTCAATTTTCCCCCAAATTTTCCACTTTTTTCCCATTTTTTCCTAATTTCCCCTTAATTTTCCCCCCAATTTTCCCTCAATTTTCCCCAATTTTCTCACATTTTTTCCCTTTTAAAAAACTTTTCCCAATCCCCCCCCATTTTCCCCATAATTTTTCCCATTTTTTGATTTTTTTCCAAAATTTTTGCCATTTTTTTGAATTTTTTTCCCAAATTTTCCCATCATTTTTCCAATTTTTTAAAATTTTTTTCCAAAATTTTTGCCATTTTTTAAAATTTTTTTCCAAATTTTTCCCATAATTTTTCCCATTTTTAAATTTATTTTTCCAAAATTTTTTCCATTTTTTTGGAATTTTTTCCCAAATTTTCCCATAATTTTTCCCATTTTAAAATTTTTTTTCCAAAATTTTTGCCATTTTTTGGAATTTTTTCCCAAATTTTCCCATAATTTTTCCCATTTTTAAATTTTTTTTCCAAAATTTTTGCCATTTTTTGGAATTTTTTCCCAAATTTTCCCATAATTTTTCCCATTTTTAAATTTTTTTTCCAATTTTCCCCATAATTTTTCCCATTGTTTGAAATCTTTTCCAAATTTTTCCCATAATTTTCCCCATTTTTTGATTTTTTTCCAAAATTTTTGCCATTTTTTTGAATTTTTCCCAATTTTTCCCATCATTTTCCCAATTTTTTTGAATTTTTTTCCACAATTTTTCCCATTTTTAAATTTTTTTTCCAATTTTCCCCATAATTTTTCCCATTGTTTGAAATCTTTTCCAAATTTTTCCCATAATTTTTCCCATTTTTAAATTTATTTTCCAAAATTTTTGCCATTTTTTAAAATTTTTTCCAAATTTTTCCCATAATTTTCCCCATTTTTTGATTTTTTTCCAAAATTTTTGCCATTTTTTTGGAATTTTTTCCCAAATTTTCCCATAATTTTTCCCATTTTAAAATTTTTTTTCCAAAATTTTTGCCATTTTTTGGAATTTTTTCCCAAATTTTCCCATAATTTTTCCCATTTTTAAATTTTTTTTCCAAAATTTTTGCCATTTTTTGGAATTTTTTCCCAAATTTTCCCATAATTTTTCCCATTTTTAAATTTTTTTTCCAAAATTTTTGCCATTTTTTGGAATTTTTTCCCAAATTTTCCCATAATTTTTCCCATTTTTAATTTTTTTTCCAAAATTTTTGCCATTTTTTTTAATTTTTCCAAATTTTTCCAAATTTTTCCCATAATTTTTCCCATAATTTTCCCCATATTTTGATTTTTTTTCCAAAATTTTTGCCATTTTTTTGAATTTTTCCCAATTTTTCCCATCATTTTCCCAATTTTTTTGAATTTTTTTCCACAATTTTTCCCATTTTTAATTTTTTTTTCCAATTTTCCCCATAATTTTTCCCATTTTTAAAATTTTTTTCCAATTTTCCCCATAATTTTTCCCTTTTTTAAAATTTTTTCCCAATTTTCCCATAATTTTTCCTCTACTTTTTGGCTTTTTTCCTTTCCCCCAATTTCCTTTTTCCCATTTTCCCCCAATTTTTCTCCTTTTCTCCCCAATTTCCTCCCATTCCCCCCAAAATTTCCCCCAATTTTCCCCTTTTTTTGATATTTCCTCCTCCATCTCCCCCAAAATTTTCCTCTTTTTTCTCCTTTTCCCCC